GTCCGGAATAGCAGCTATAGTGCAAGCACCAGAGCCGCTAAAATGTATGTCTTGTCACGGAATACTCAGTTTTAGATGGGAATATTCTCTAACTTTCCACGACTACACTGGAAAAAAAAACACACATTGGATCTAGAGTCCAGACTCTTAAAAACATCGACAAGAAAAGGAACTCTTGATTCAATCAGAATCTAGCTTAAGTCAAGAACCAAGCCTCTTAATTCAAGCGGATTTCGTTTTGATTCAAGCAAAGATCCGATTGAATCAAGAGTATTTTTTCTTGTCAATGTTTTCAAGAGTCTGGACTCTAGATCCAATGTTTTCTTTTTTTTTCCAGTGTAAGTAAAACTACAGACTTTTCCAAGGTTTTCCTGACTTTTCTGGAACATGCCATCGATTAGAAACACCTGCAACAGTTCGACGGGGGAAAACGGGAAACATCGAAGCCGATAGAGAAAAAACCAGGATTGATTTTACGTACCGAGTCGTTCTCATTTTTCCGAGCTTCATTTGAATTTCCCATTTACGGAGGACTTGCGTCACGGCTCGGCGATGAGAATCGGCGCACGTCGCGAGATGACACGGCGAAATGATGAGCTGGACTGTCACCCGGGGGAGAAATACGGGAGCCGAGCAAAACTAACGCCTTCGACTTCAACTTCATGAAAAGAACTTCATCCGACTGTTTTAAGAGAACGATAAAACGTGCGCACTTGAAGGTAAGTCGTTGGAGGGAAAAATTTTGATAGCTCCCTGCGGGTTTCCAATGTGCATTTTGCGTCTCAGAAAAAAACGCCAGAGAGCTTTTTCATTAATCTAATTATGAGAGACAGGTGGAAGAGCTCGGTGTTCAAATCATTCGATTTGTGAATTTCAACTTCGATTCAGATTTGATTCGGAAGTTCGGTTTTGTAAAGAAAATTCTACCTCACAAACAGTGTTCGAAACTCACAAGCGCCAACGCGCCAAATGCGCCTAAAAAGTGAAGGCTCTGCGCCAACGTATCCATTAAAAATTGCCCCCTAAAAATCTGGATTTTCATAGGAAGTCACTTAAAGAAAGAAAATAAATCTATTTGAATTAAAAAAAACTCAGAATTTTCAGCACTACAAGTGAAAGCTTATTCTATTCTTCACGATTTCATTCTTAGTGCTTTTGTCTTCCCCCAGTTACAGCTACGTACTAGTTCTGTTACAAAAACATCTTGCGTCAAACTTTTCACGAAATGCGCCGTAATATATAGGCAAAAAGTCAATTTGGCCCCTAAAAATCGGGCTTGACGCGCCACATGGCTCCTAAAACTCAAATATGAGTTTCGAACACTGCTCACAAACCGAATTGTTGAGACGATACAAACACAGAAAGCTCGGTCCACAAAACTGACTCTTTCCCAGTATGCCGACAGTGTACAACAACAGGGAGATGTACTAAGTAGAGGACGTAAAAAGATAGATAAATACCGGAGACAGGTATGGTATTACATAATGCAAGCAGACTTCTCAAACTTAAATTATGATTTCTTCGGATTCTAATGTGACAAAATTTGACGAACGCACTCCCGTAATAATTTTCCTACAAGCAAAAACACCGAGCAATTCCTTCGGGAAAATTTTCCGTGACTTGTCTTCCCGGTTTTCCAGGCGCAGAGGTCCCTCACTTGCGCGTGATTTGAAGGTGCCAATTTTATGTGGATGAATTTCTGTCCAAGTATAAGACGATCTAATATGTCAAGGGGATTTAAGAAAAAATTTATGGTAATTGACTCATCGTGAGATCCCGCTGGTGAATTAAAATTTCTGGCTTCACTGCACTATCACAGAACTTCAGAAAACTTTTTCGAAGTATCTCGCACCGATGCAAGTTTCTTACAAATTTTGAGAGTTTAACAACTTCAACACTGGGAAAAAAAAAACATATTGGATCTAGAGTCCAGATTCTTGAAATCATTGGCAAGAAAAAGGACTCTTGATTCAATCAGATTTAAGCTTAAATCAAAAGGAAATCCGCTCAAATTAAAAGGCTTGGTTTTTTATTTAAGCTTAAATCTGATTGAATCAAGAGTATTTTTTCTTGTCGATGTTTTTAAGAGTCTGGACTCTAGATCCAAAGTGTTTTTCTTTCCAGTGAAGGCTCCCGAAGTTTTGCGACTGGAAGTGAAGGGAAGTACTTAAGGAGGCATCACTAATTTACAATTCCTCGGCTCGTATCAATTCAAACCACGCGATAGGACGTACACTTCTACACTTCCGGTTGGAAAACAGACACGAATCAAAAGAATCAGCCGAAAAAATTCACAAGAAATTCAGCAGCGGCCAAGACAGCGTACCGAGGACTCAGGTACCGCGAGGAAGGTGAGCATGACTGTTTTCCTGCGACCGGGTTTTCGTGAGCGACGGGTAGCCCCGCAGATGGGAACGCACGTCACGAGTCTGGCACTGTAGAAAAATTTAACCGTAAAATTCTATCACTCAGTGCATCAACTTTACGAGCTGGTGGGTGATAAACTTTCTATAATTTCCTCGGCGGAACTATTGAAAGTTAACTTGCGTGAAGTGGTTCGAACTTATTCCTGGAAGGAGAAAAACAATGGATCCGATCTCGACGAGTGGGCCACGAGATAAGGTGTGAATTTGAACACTGCGTTAAATGTGCCCACTTCAAGAGTTTACGCAGAAAGCTATTCACGCACCGAAAAGCTTGGAGATCCACTCCTTGGCGAGATATTTTACACAAATGACATAATTTGTGCTAGAGTCGTTTTATATAATTCATACATATTTCATATTACATATTATTATTATGCACTGAAAACAAAACTTCGGCCGTGGAAGCTACTTACGGGCTACATGGACAGGACATACCGTCCGCGTTTCGGACTCAGAAGCCGAAAATTCCGGGCATAGCATCCGGAGCAGTCGAAGCTACGGCTCCAGCACCCGGAACTTTCGGCCTATGAGCCCGGAACGGACGTTATTCCTGTACACCGGAAACAAAAACACATTGGATCTAGAGTCCAGACTCTTGAAATCATTGACAAGAAAACATACTCTTGATTCAACCAGATTTGAGCTCAAATCAAAAGGAAATCCGCTCAAATTAAGAAGCTCGGTTCTTGATTTAAGCTTAAATCTGATTGAATCGACAGTATTTTTTCTTGTCGATGTTTTCAAGAGTCTGGACTCTAGATCCAATTTGTTTTTTTTTTTCCAGTGTATAGCCCGTAACTTTTCTCACAGAGTGATTAATAAATTATTTTAATCTTTTTCAGGAGTTGATTTTTTAACTCCTCGTTGCGGAAGTCATGTTTCGCGTAATCGCTCGTTAAAAAAATTTTCGGGAGTTCCGGCAGCCGCGCTGATGATAATGGTCACGAGCATGATCATCACTCACACATGCGCGGGAATTGGCGGAGGGGGGGGCGGTGT